CAATAATAATAGTAATAAAGGAGTGTATTAATCAGAACTAATGATCAATAATAATGAGTGATCCGACAACAATCTGTTAATGATCTTATTGAACAAATTATCAATAGAGAAATTACCTGCAGGTTGATTAATGATGAAAATGATCACTAATTGAAAAGTGTTTGATCCCTGCAGCTATTAAACAAAGGGGCTGAGTGTACCTTTCCACCTGTCTACCTGTCCACCTGTCCACCTGTCTACCTCTCTACTTTTCCACCTTTCCACCTGTCCACCTGTCTACCTGTCCAGCTGTCTACCCTTCTACCTGTCTACCTGTCCACCTGTCTACCTGTCCAGCTGTCTACTTGTCCACCTGTCCACCTGTCATGTACTATTTATTTGATTTTTTGTTTGTTGTGGATTTGTTGATTGTGGATGGCGTGTTTCTTTGTTGACTGCAGGTGCAGTGATGATGTGGAGATGAATTTCCCCCTTGGAGGACAATAAATTGAATCTTGAATCTTAATTAAGAAACAATATATTGATATCAACAGAAACAATCAATATATTGAAATCAACAGAAACAGTCGACATATTGAAATCAACAGAAACAATATATTGATATCAAAGGAAACAATCAATATATTGATATCAACAGAAACAGTCAATAGATTAATTAACAGAAACAATCGATATTTCAATCGATCAATAGAAACACAGACTCACCGGCTTCCTCCTCTTGGACTTTAAACTGATCAACTGCAGCCGTTAAATTATTGATAAAGGTTACTGCTTCTCACCTGTCAGCTCCACTCACCTGCTGTCTGCAGACCAATCAGCAGCTGGCAGAGTGCTGACATCACTGAGCTGAGGTGTGTTTAAAGAACAAAAGCATCATGAGAGAGAGAAACCTTACAGTGTGACACTATTGTTATTGTTTATAATAAATATAATGATTATTAATGAAATATTAATGATTAAACTCATTGATCTTCACTGACTGCTGCTCGTTGACCTTTGACCTCTGCCAGGAGATGGGCTGAATCTCACTGATTTCTTGGTTCATGGTTGCAGTTTGTGTTTTCTGTTTTCGATGATGATGATGATGATGATGATGATGATCCACTCTTCAGTCCTGTTTCTGTTTCAGGAAGCTGAGCGAGCGGCTGATCTGAATGAATGTTTAATGAGCATGGTCTGATGATAAGTGTTTGAATGCGGCCGCTGTGCTGGAGCTGTGAACTCTCTGTGTGTGTTGGCTGCTGACCTCCTCTGCTCTTTGTTTGGGACTGAACTGAAGCGGATTGTCTCTGGCTCTGAGCTCTCTTTGTTTCTGGGTCGTTCGAGGACAAAACAACTGGAGCTTTTCTTCTTCTGCCCTGAGATAAACGCTAAAACACACAGAGCCTGTCATCCCCCACCTTCATCACATCATCACATCATCACCAGGCTGTGGGGATACTTGGAACCACACTAACAGGCTACAGTCAGCTGTATTCTCAGCTAAATGCTAATATTACCAAGCTAACATTGTAAAGTTTAGGAGGCACAAAGTGCAGCTGAGGCTGATGGGAATCTCTGTAGTTCTGCAGGTATTTGCTCATGAACCAAAGTATTGGACACATTCAAATGTTGACCTGATGGTGGCGCTAGATGGAAAGTCAGAGGATCAATAAAGTTATTACAATTCATCCTGAATGTCTGAACCACATTTCATCACAATTCATCCAATAGTTGTTGAGATATTTCAGTATTCCTGTCAAAGTATCGAAGGAATCCAGACTACTGATAAAGCCATGTGAGACAAGTGTAGATGTGTCTGTGGAAAAATTTGTAGTTCAATGTCCGTGGTACACTCAGCCAGATAAAACAAGTCTCTAAAGTTCAGCAATGATACAAAGTTCCATTCTTTATCCTTAAAAGGAAACAACTCAGAGTACCGTCAGAAGAACCTTTACATCGGTAGACCGACCAAGGATTTACAATTCAGCCACAGACTTAAAACCAACACAGAAAGACTAACTACCTCGATTCATCAGGTACAGTTGAGTCAGGATTCATCGTGTTCAGTTGAGTCAAGATTCATCGGGTACAGTGGAGTCAAGATCGTTCAGGTACAGTTGAGTCAGGATTCATCGTGTACAGTTGAGTCAAGATTCATCGGGTACAGTTGAGTCAAGATTCATCGGGTACAGTTGAGTCAGGATTCATCGTATACCGTTGAGTCAAGATTCATCGGGTACAGTTGAGTCAAGATCGTTTAGGTAGAGTTGAGTCAAGATCCCACTGTATTTTTAACTATAATCATAGTATTCAACACTCTCTGATCTCATGTTTAGTGTCGTCTAACATTCAAAATTATGAAAATAAAAACAATGAAAACAATGAAATGATTATTGATCATTGTAATTATTTTCCAGCATGCATCCTCAGGCTCCTCCCAGTGGGTGTGGCCTCTTCAGCTCCACTCAACTGTCAGTCAGAGACAGTGTCCCCACTCTGTCTCTTCTCTCCTCAAAAACCACAACAAAAGTACTGCTGAGCTGCAGTATTACTGCGACTGCTGCTGGGTGAGTTATTCTGCCCCGAACAGACCTTCTGTTGCTCAGTGGAACAACTGTTGACTGTTTCTGTGCTGCTGTGCACTGATTCCAGATGAGTGTGTGAGCTGTGCTGAGGTGAAAATGAAGCGCTCCCTGGGGATCTGTCTGGTGATCTGCTCCGCTCTGATCGGACTCGGTAAGTTTGATTCTCTATGTTATTTCTCTCTAACTGATCCCACTGAACCTATTTAATACTTTTATTGATTGTTTACTGATCACCAATAAAATACCATACAGATACTCATTGTGTGTCACTGGTCACTGATCAATATCAATAAATATAATGAAACTTATATTAAATAACATCCGGATCATGATATTGATCCCTTTATTGACAGCTGATTAGTGAGAACGTTCACTGTCCTTTGGTCAGAACTCTGTTTCAGAACAGAAACCCTGACCCCTCCAGGACTGACTGGATCCAGTTCTGACGCAGACTCTGAACCAGACTCTGAATATGTGTTTCAGGATCCGCCCTGCAGTGTTACAGCTGTCAGGGTCCAACAAAGTGCACCACTCAACAACAGTGTGGCTCCGGAGAGGACACCTGTCTCAAACTCATCGATACAGGTACCGCTTCCTGTCCACAGCCTACTGTCCACAGCTTCCTGTTAGCTTTAATCTCCTACTGACGTTCTGCTGACGTTCTGCTGACGTTCTACTGACGTTCTGCTGTTTCCTGTTTGTTCAGCAGGTGGAAAGACTTACCGACAGTGTCTGAAGTACTCAGAATGCAACTTCAACAGCCTTTCTGGGAAGTTCCCCCAGGTAACAACAGCTCCACCTTCCTATATGTATTTATATATATATATATATATATTTATAAACTGTAAATAAATAAATATATGTATTTATATTTATATACATATATATTTATATACAGTGTATATATATTTATATACATATACACATAAAAATAAGACTATAAGATGCAACTTATAAAGTGTTTTTAATGAATTTGAGGCATCAATATGGAGGAAGGAAGGAGCCTCTGTGATGACGTGTTGTTCAACCTGATCAATAACTGTATTGATCATTTTCAGGTTTCCAAGTTTACCTTCGATTGCTGCAACTCTGACCTGTGTAACTCCGCCCCCTCCTCCACAGCGAGCTCTGTGATTGGTCTGCTGGCCTCGGTGGCTGTCATGTGGTGGTGCATTCACTGATGCTGCTCTGTAGCGACGCCCTGTGGCTGTAAACAATAACAGCAGCAATAATTTTATTGTTTACTACCCAGAAAACATGTTTATTCTCTTTTTATTTACAGGAAACTGCAGCTTTAATGCCTGATCTTTCAAAATAAAGTGTTAAAACTGAAGCTGCTTCGCTCTTTAACTCAATAGTTTACTCAACATTTAATCAATAAATGGTGACCCACTGGAAACTGATTGATTGATTGAATATTGATGATTGGAAATGCTTGAGATTCTGTTGCAGGAGGAATATGTCATTATTAAAATACAACTTTATATCAAATTAAATAAGTAAACATTCTGCTACTTTCAATAAATAATAAATGTTTGTAAGTGTATCAAAGATTAAAACTGACCTTTAAATAAAAGACAAACATCTTCAGCATCCACGCTCAGGTTTAATTATTTATAGTATATATGAGTTTAGTGTGATTGCTTTTTACAGTATAGTGTTATATTTTTTTTGCAGTGTAGTGCCGATTGTTCTTTTACAGTGTAAAGTGTAATATATTTTTTTACACTGTAATATATATATATATATATATAATAGATATCTAATAAATATATGTATGTAAATAAATGTAATATATATATTACAGTGTAATATAATATATATATATCTATTACAGTGTGATATATATTAATATATATTAACACTTATACATCTATTATATATATTACGTGTAAAGTTGTAATATATATATTAAAGTGTAACATTACACCTATGGAGTCTCCCGGCCAAAACCAGCAGGCTCAAGGAAACCGAGTTTCTTCACCAAGGCAGGGAGATTCACCTCCCTCACTGCTTACCCCCCCCTCCCCCCTCGCGCACACCCCCGCCCCCCCCTTCAGCATCTTGACATCATAGGTGTCAGCCACCCACCACCACTCACCCATTTCACTTTCCCGTTTATTTGCAACTACCTCACCCTTAAACTTCTGTAATACCTCAAGTGCCTTCACTGTTGTCATGTTTATTTAAATGTCTTTTGTATTCACTCAGTTAGAACTGTGCGCTATTGTATTTGTCTTTTGTATATTTGAAGTGTTTTTTTAATATTGCCTGTTTTGCACTGTGGGTCCGAGAGGACTGAAAGGAGGATCTGTGCTGTATGTCGTGTATGTATACAGATTAATAAAGCGTGACTGACTTTTTTAAAAGTGTAATAGCATGTATTTTTTTAGCAGTTGTGCCTCAAGAAGATCTCCTCCAGCTCTTCCCGGATGCTGTGATGTCACACTTTGAGTCAGTTTTCGGTAATATACACGGAAACTGACAAATATATTTTCAAAAATAAACGGCCACCATAATCGATTCCATGGACATACGAGCCTCCTTTTTTGTCTTTTCTGTGTTTCTGGTTCTGTTACTGCCGTAATAATATTTCTGTAATTTTAATTATTCAGTTTATTTGTTTTATTCAATTTTAGATAATTTATTGTTTGACTTGTCCTTTATCTTGTAAATACTATTACAATGCAAATGATCAGTATAATGTAATGTAGATTATAATAGTAAAATGTGTGTATTATTGGGTCTGAGGTTTAACTCCTCTGTTTTAATATAACATCTTTACATTTTTTGTTTTTTTTTAAAACTGTTTAAAACGTTGGTTCGCTGAGTGAGTCTTGTGCTTTTATTGTGAAACTACCAAGCGGAAGTGGTCTGCGCGTTTTTTTCTACATTGACGCAGAAGAAGGTTCGGCAGGTTGCTCCCCGCGACAGGCCATGAACTTTGATCTAAAAGAAAGAGAGAAGACGCTGCTGCTAGCTGCACGTCATCATGCTCTGAAGGGTAACGAACAGGTGAAACGATCTGAGACGGTCGGTGACCTTTGAAACTCTCACCTGCCGCCGCTGATCGGTCCACATCATCATCAGAGCTCGCTGCCGGTTCGTGCAGACCCGTTCCATAGAGAAATAGAGTGAAGTCAAACAGGTGGTAAACGATGCCGGTTGAAGCTGCAAAAAGAATTATTAGAAATTATTAAAAACGCAGCCGAATTTTTCTGTAAGGAAGAATAAAGAGTTTCTCCATCAAAGACACAACGCAGAACAAAGGAATTAAACTGATTGTATCATCAACGTATAGACA